GGTACTTGTTGGTCCCTGCCTGGCGCTCGGCATTAATGGGTACAACAAGGACTGGTCGGCTCGGAGTCAGTATAATGTGTCTGAGTGGGGTATTCATGCTTCACTGCGGCATGGTATCTCAGTGGGCTAGCACTATAAAACCAGCTTAAGTCTGGGCTAGTACAAGCAGCCGCACATACACACATACACGCATGCACGTCGTCATATGAGCGAAATATTCTCAAGCACGACGTTAACTCCAATTTCACCTCACCTCAAAACTGAGCTAAAAACTGTATGCGTCATGAATAGTTTCAATATGTACTATTCAATATATGTACCATGGGTCGATGGCCTACATCGCGTAATATATAAAGAATATCGAATAGTTTAGGGGATATGTTTATGAGCGTGTGACCTCGGTCTTCCCTGAAACATTTACCCCAAATTGTCATAATCCCTAACATTTTTATCAGTATATTTCAAACACTTGTGCTGAGACATACACATATTATTTAGTATCCGGTACAGTGAATGTTGGTTGAGTGAGTGAGTGAGTTTATTTTTATCTCACTCAGCAATATTCCAGCTATATGGTGGTGGTCTGTAAATTATCGAGTCTGGACCAAACAACCCAGTGATCAACAGCATGATCATCGATCTACGCAACTGGGATACGATGACATGTGTCAACCAAGTCATCGAGCCTGACAACGCGATCCCGTTTGTCGCCTCTCAGGCAATTAGCCTTGCAACATCTGTTCTGTTTTGTCACATTCAGGCTTACAGTGTATGCTTTTCTTCAGTGCAAGTCGGAGATAACAGCTTGAATTTAGATCCCTAGAGGATATCCAATGGATATGTTTCTGTTGTTTGATTCATCTGAACTTATCGTGTAAAAGTATGCTTAACATGAAATATGATATATTATATCCGCCAAATACTAATTTGTACCAGTGAGGCTGTTTATTTGGCAGTGAGTCTTTGTTTAAGGCCCCATTCAGCATAGTGCTGTTATATGGCGAATGTTTGTATATAATCGAGCCTTGATCAGACAATCCAGTGAGCGTTGCTATAAGCAGTTGGGATACGATGACATTCATAAACTAAGTCAGTGATTCTGGCAGTACAGCATAATTATGTAATAAGCAAGGGGCCCTCTATAATGTGCCTGTGAATATTCATGTACCTGCTGTTATGTTAATATGCAGGCATGGTGTCACAGTGAGTCCTTGAATAAGCATATTATACACGAATGTTAAGAATTTGAAGAATGCGACGTCAGTTAAAATGCATTATCACGGGATTCTTTAGGAATGGTGTTGAAGCTATAGGGATGTAGTCGTGGATCCCTTCCATGGGTATATACTAGAATGATGATAATGATGATGATGTACAAATAGGACGTCACCATTTCAGGAAAAGAGTGAGTGACTGAGTGAGTTGGACCTTTAATGGTTTTACAGTTACATCACGACCCGTAAGTTTTTGATGTGGGTGTAAACCCAAGAATGATGCAGGTTTACCACATAGGTGAGCAAAACAAACAGAGGCACCGTCGACACAAACCGGCAAACATGAGCAGTACAAACACAGATTTGAACCCACTATTGGTTCTGGTGTTCCGAAGGACCTTGTACTCTCGAAAACGGGACTAGACTTGACGAAAGTCGAAACTTGACCTCGCTACTCGACGAATGCGAAGAATATCGCCATTGAGACAAGGGGAATATAGTACTACTTTGACCGATGACCGTCATAGGCGATTGCTTGGAAATACATATTGGTTTTTAGTTCACAATATAGAAATAAAGTTTAATTTTGTTGACAAAGAATCTTCCTGCTCCAACTGCAAATTTTACGTGAATAAATAGAAATAGCTCAGGTTCAAGATATAATTCTGTACTTAATTGTGATACATTTCGTCGTAACTCTTACCCTAATTTTCAATATTAATTTCCAACTCTGAAAAACCTGCTTTGCTCAGGTCGTACCTTAACCTGTTTAGCTTTGGGCTCGACCATACTAAAGTTTAGTTTAAATGGCATATTATCAATAAACAATATGATGAATGTAAATATTTGGTGAGAGGTAGGTAGAAATATAATACAGGTTGTTTTCATGGCAATTCTTATTAAGAAACTTTAAGAATGAACTTAGTCAAAATATTTTCTCACAAACTTCATGACAGGTCAAAATAACTTATTTTCATTGTTCATGTAATTGATTGATTTTAAATAAAGTCACAGTCTTATCAGTGGTGATCGCGAGAATGTCCCTTACAGTATTCCATAGGTGTTTACCTAATCCCCTTCCAATTCATATAACTCTTAACTTCAATATAGCATAGGGCCTGCAGCCCATATTTCACGTCTTTTTATAGCCCTCGTTGTTTAAGGTTACGTTGACATGGTCTCAGAAAATAGTCACAGTAACCTACGTCAGTAACACAACCCAGATTAGAGATAATGCAGTAGCAAAAAGTAGGTCCAGTTCGATATCATATGTCAGCCCACGACTAGGTGTCTGAATGTGCGAGTGAAATGAACTCCATGATGTGTTGTGTATTATCTGTATATTGCATATTATCTGTAACAAATGTATATTTGTATGTGGGCCGGAGAGCTTAAATGCAATAAACTCTTTTGACTTTGACTCCTCTTGCATAGGGAGACGTGTTAGTCACTTACACATAATAAGGTTTATCATTTTTAAAAGTTGGTTCTTAAATCTCTGGGGCTGTGGTGGTAGCCTATTGATTGAGTGAGTATGGTTTTACGCCACTTTTAGCAATATTCCAGCAATATCACGGCAGGGGACGCCAGAAATGGGCTTCACAAATTGTAACCATGAGGGGATTCGAAACAACCGCCAGAGTCTATCATAGATCAGAGACCATAATAAGGTCTCCCTACTATCTCCGCTTGGATACTGGACAACTGCCCAGAACGTGACCAAGAAGTCTGAGTGCGCATGTCCAGAATCGACGTGCTGAGTAAGGGCCCATCTAAACATTTGCTTGGCTCATCATATGTATTTCCATTCTCTTCCCACAGAGGTTACTCCTGTCATATCTTCCTACGTAACCTCTGTTCTAATACGGCCATATTTCCCGGTTCTCGTAAAATCCCCTAGCGGCAAAAGATCGCAACACAAATTATCTCCCTTCTTTCTATCCAATCAGAACACCTGTTACATAGACTTAGATTCAACTTGACTAACACAAGCAAATGTGGGGCCACAAATATCCCCCATCTGCCGGGGACTTGTGTTGATGTTACACACAAGACGTTTAATGGCTAGCTTGTCCGTTGTCAACGAGGGCGATGGAGACGCCACTGATCCTCCATAACATAACTGAGTTCTGTCTAGAAGAAACGTTTGCGCATCGCGCAGGGGAAGAAGTTTAGTTTTCTCGAAGCATACGGAAATTACCGAGGCCTTGCGAATGATCACTTTTGAAACAACGTTGCTGATTGCAAAACTAAATCTGATTGTCTCCAATCACGAGTCTTGAACGCTCACACCATGAAAGGGCCGTATTAGAACAGAGGTTACGTAGGAAGATATGACAGGAGTAACCTCTGTGGGAAGAGAATGATGTATTTCATACTTTCAAGAACTTGCAGCATCACGTGCTCCTGTAAGGTTGATGCGAATGGAGACGTTTGAAGGTCTCAACGTATGGGTGTAAACATGCATTTAGAAGAAAGTAAACATAGCCTGAAATATTTAATCTGGATACGAAACAAAAAGTTATTTTACATTTCAACTCGACCAGAGTCTGGTATAAGACGGATATAGCCACCCTTTTATCGATGCGTCGGTCGATACCCCTACAGTTGGGGCAGATACACCTAGGAAAGTGTGGTATATCTCTCACATACGTACATAAGACGTCTAAATCTATATCTGTCTGTCCCGGTTCGGTGAAGCCTGTTTACACCCGTAACCCGAGACAAACCTACGCGTGATAATATAGATCGCTACTAATAGTTGTATGCAGTAATGTAATGGTGTTAGTGCTGTCTTACGTCAGCCGTGATAATCTATATTGAACCCTCGTATTGCTGTGTTTAACTGTTGAAGAAATAACAAAACCCGAAGGAAAGAGTGGTCTGAAAAATACGTATCCATGGGAGTACAAATGAAGCATTACACTTCCCCGTAAGGAGCACTGAAAATATGTAATATCAGTTGTGTGTCAAACACACCCGGCATAATCTGAAATCCCCATTTTTACAAAAGATATCCCCATTTTCACAAAAGATATGCGTATATGAAAAGCATGTTCCACTAAAACCTTTTTGTTTATTCTAAAAGGTTAGGTGTAACGCAGTTATGCCATTGATAAAGCATGTTCAACACAGAATATTGACATAGTTAAGAAATGTGTTTTGTTTAATATATTACACAGCGTTCAAGACTCTTGCAATTCGGTGTATTATATTGTTAGAATCATCCTTTTCGAGAAACTAAACTTCAATTGCCATTGTAGCGATATATACATACTATTTTCATTTATAACTAAACAGAATATTGAAGATTAAAGGAGATGTTGGTTGTTTTCAGAACCGGGATTTCTTTTCAAACAATACAAGATTTTTGTCAAGAAATTACTTTTTTTCCCCATCTATATTTATTTGGTGTCATAAAATTAAGTGATTTTGCATAATCTTCAAATAAACTTCACAAAATCATATAATGATAATGAAGATGCTCACTACAAAGAAAGTCCTGGGACACAATGTTGCACCTTCTCCCGAACATTTGCCTGCATTTTGCTATAGGGGTAGGACCAAAGAATGACCCCTAACTTTTTACCTACCCTATAATTTGGGATTACATAGTACCTAGAAATGTTCAGTAGGCTCTCCTGGATCAAACTGTGTAGGCAGACCTTTTATGTGGAAGGTGTTGAGCAACATTAATTTTGTCCTGGCTTAGCTCCTGTACTGTAACTGTAACAGTTGGACATATGCGCTTAGTCAACCGTTAACTTCAACCCGGTGACAGGGCTAAGGTCAAGGATATTCAGCTCGCCCCAAGCAAGACAGTCGCGAGATAACTGTACTGCAGGTCAGGTGCCTTTCAACTGCTGTTACCTGTACTGACACCTCTTGGGCAACACCACTGTTCTGGGTGATTAAACGATGCACAGTCAGTGGCGAGATTGTCAGGTAAGCGAATGCTATGCATATTAACAGCAAACTGGAATATTCAGCGGTGCTGCTTACGTAGTATGAATGTTGTTGTCGGTGTTTGTGGGTTATGTGAACAGATAGATTGATTCGTATGCCGTAGATCCTCCTGGATTATCTGTGCTACCCAGATTACCTAGTGTTTTAATCAGTTAATACGTGAAACAATTGCTCCCTTCGGGGTGATCGTCATGTATTAATGTTGTCTCTGTATAAATGAATTGTTCATTAAAGAGTCATATAGCCCCTCTCTCTCTCTCTCTCTCTCTCTCTCTCTCTCTCTCTCTGTCCCTCCTCTCTCTCTTTCTGATCGCGCGCTATTACTGTGTGCGTGTGTGTGTGTGTGTGAGCGCGCGCGCGCGTTATTATCGATCCTTTGACGAATAGTAACACATGTCTGAAACTGACTCAAAGGAATGTTGACTTAACCGTCAGTAAATATACTACAACCCAACAACCCAGTACAGACAGAAATCTTGTGTATTACATTCTAAGCACACAGAAAACGTATTAGTTGTGCATAAAGAAACACCTATAACTGACGGTGTCCATTATGTCATACATATGCCCGACACAACACCCGATGTGATTACGCTGTCTCTACAAACTAATACCCCTGTGGGTATTCAGTGCAGCTCGGTACTCGATACCCTAGTTAGAGGTGATGTAACATGGCCAGGTGGGTTTCATCCTGTGTTGTAGACTGTGTAAATCACCGGTGATGTGTTAACCAGGCCAGGTGGGTTTCATCCCGTGTTGTAGACTGTGTAAATCACCGATGACGTGTTACACATAACGTCCCTCGTGCTTTAACCTATTTGATAGGAAGGGTTGTGTACTTTGATTAATCAGCAGACATGGATCGGGTTGCCTATGGTGATGTTTTATAGGATGGGTAGGTTCCCACATCTCAACGTTTCACTTTTGTCGGGCTGGAAATGTAACAATGATGTTACATATTTTTTAGAAACATACTTTTTGCAAATATATTTTTAAAGTGAAACAAAGTGTCTTTTTCGAAGGGACTCTAATCTTTCTGATCAACGATTGTTGTTTCAGAGGATCAAAACCTTTTGTTAAAATGGTGCTCAAAGGCTTAGGATTCTAAGTGTTGTCATAGCAACGATTCAGGTCAAATTTTGTCGGAATGAACATTTAATGCTAAGTGATAACGTCATGGAGCCCTGACATGACAAAGCTCCATCACTTAATTGTCATCACTCACGAGATGCTACTCCGAGTTATTTATCCTCATCATGAATCGTAGTATCTACCCGGAAATACACTTTGGTCATTAGCAGAATGGTTGACAGTAGGGGTGTCACGATACACCAATCTCACGATACGATACGTATCACGATTTTAAGGTCACGATACGATACGTATCGCGATACATAATTATCGCGCCTTTTCATAGCATTACCTTACCGGCAACGTACGCGCTCGCTGATTGGTCCATCAAAATAGTCTAGCCAATCACAAAAGCTGTTAGTTTCCAACTTATTTTTTAAGTAAAGCTAGCTACATCTATTTATCGGAGCCATCTGGTATAATTTTACTATCAAGACTTTGACAGAGATGGATATAGCATAAAAATTTGAATCGATAAAGTTTTAAAAAAATCGATAGGAATCGATACGTACGTCAGTAAAATGCATGTATCGCGCGTATCGTATCAGTGTGCAGTAAAATGTATCGATGTATCGATACATTCGCGTTCCCCATCGCCAAAAGAAACGTTACCCTCCTTCCTTAATGACGGAGGTACCTATCTTCATCTGGCGCTGTGATGCGTGGGCGTCCACTTCATTGTCTGTCGGTGACCCCAGTCTGTCTGTAGCCTTGAATAAGTCTGATAACCGTGATACGGTGGCATCCGAGGGCGTTGGCAACAGCATTGTATGTCGACCTCATCTGCACCATCCCGGTGGCTCTTTCTCTCTCTCTCTCTCTTCAGCTGTTAATCGTGGCATATTTCTCGTACTTGTGTATCATATCATGCATTCTAGTCTCTTTTTATACCCTATAAGAATCATTCTACACGTGAAATGGATGCAAATACGGCTTGAATATTGCTACGTTTTGCGATTGATATTGCTCTGTGTAAACAAAAATGGAAAAATGTTACTTTGCAAGCAAAAATGTTAGCAAAGATAATCTTAGATGTTCCTAAACACTTTTTCACAATATCAAAGACACGTTTTATTTGTTTTCACTAATGCAAATCAGCAGAACATGTTTTAAAAAACTGAAATCATAAGAATGATTCTTTTACAATTTTACACACTCTACAACAGTTGTTTCTTGTTTTAATAGTTGAAAAATGGTGACTTTAAATGGTTTATCTTTGTCTCAAAGCAGAATATTATTTCAACCTTTCTTTCGGACATCTAAATCACTGTTATTGGTTTATTTCGGCATGGACGAATATAGGACAATTTAATTCTTCTGAAAAAGATGCATTTCACCTAAATATGAATGCATTTTAATTCTTTTTCGTGATTTGCATAAAGCTGTGTTGTTCAGCTTTCTTGTAAACTAATGCCTTCTAACATATCTTTGATAGTTTTTCAGTAATTGATAAAGGTAGGAGGGTAACGTTTCTTTTGGCGTTTAGTGTACATTGTGTGAAGTCCATTTTTGGTGTCCCCCGCCGTGATATATGGAAAAGCGACGTAAAACCCAACTCACTCACTCACTCAATTTGTATGGTATCGGTTCGTATTTTGTGGGACCCTGTCGGGGTTCACAACATCAACCACTGGTTGCCTATCAACTATTTGATATACGATGGTGGTGGATCGTGCGATAACAATTATTGACAACATGCATGTATACACCGCTAAAAGAGACAAAAGCATTTCCTAGTCTTACGAAATCTCTACTAAATGATGATTCCATTGAACCATTCCGACTTGATCATAATGTTTATGAGTGAGTGAGCGCTGTTATCCAGAGCTGAATAATGCTCTTTGAATTCATCGCAGAAGATTATGGTCGATTGTACTTCAAAAGTCATAAATTATAAAAACCGCAGAAATATTTGTGCACATAAAGGGAAAGTTAGCACGTGGAAACTAAACTGAAGACATCCGTCCTGTGATACAGTTACATGGAGCTCGAGAGTAACACTCTTCTAACCTCTATTTATTAGCGTAAAGGATAATACATGAAAGGTGTGTCAAGGAAGGATGTTTGATAAGACACAACAGTTAAGAAAACATAATTCATCTAGAGTGCATCAATTGTTTTAACAATTGTATCGACACATTCATCTTTTATTGTGAACTGTCTTCTCTTTGAGTACCGGTAAGTGCATGAAATACATTTATTTTGTCAGGAGTGGAAGAGTCTAGGGCTCCCACTCTCCACCACCAACAATGAAGCCAGCAAGATGTTTGATGCTACGCTCACTCAGGTAAGTGGATTTCGTGTGTTTGCTGAAAAATACCTACATGGTCTGGTTAGCAGAACCCAGGACACAGTGAAGCCACTTGGTCCAAAGGCAACTTTCTTGTTTGCCTTATAAGTGATATCAATAGCAATACTACAGTCCGGTTTAACGAGGTTTTAATGCAGATTATTCATGCATGGGGACAGTAGTGAGTGAATAAGTGAGTTTAGTTTTACGCCGCACTCAGCAATATTCCAGCTATATGGCGGCGGTCTGTAAATAATCGAGTCTGAACCAGACAATCCAGTGATCAACAGGATGAGCATCGATCTGCGCAATTTGGAAAGGATGACATGTGTCAACCAAGTCAGCGAGCCTGACCACCCGATCCCGGCATGGGGACAGTAACAAACCTTATGGAGTCTACTTCAAATGAAATTCCAGATATTCTTATCTAAGACACGGAAAAGGATGAACATTTTTTACCATCAAAGGGTTAAAACTTTGACTGTTTGTTTCACAATTATCCAATAAATCACTGTGACCACTATGTGAAGTTGATATCAATAGTAAGAATTGTGTTTCTATGTATAATACCGTTATATTCATATGTTGAACAATCCTTCTGCATTGTACAAAGAACAGGTGTGACTTGGTAGACTGTACAGCTTATAGACGAGTCTGTATGTAACATTACGGGTACCCACTCTACAGCTTGTGTATGACTTCAGTATGTGGGCTGGTATGACGACGCAGGAACTGGTGGCATTGAAACCTCGCTACAGAAGATGATGGACGCTGACCCTAACTTTGGTACGTTTCCATTATCTATTAATACGCCCCAAACCATATCAATTAATTATTCTTCGGTATCACGAGGTACATCTATTTTGTCCTTCAAACTATAAACAAGTTTTAATATATATATTGGTGCCTCAAAGTGTATTTGGCTCAAAGGTTATTGATATTCCACCAGTTTATGATTTTTGTTTCAGCGAACATTATTATTTCGCATACTATGGGGGAACACCAGGCTATCAGTATGTCCTAATCTGTGTTTGTATTTAAGATATAAAACACTCACAGTTTGACAGTGGTCCCTGAATTGTTTAAGATTAAACCGACCCATGCAGTGAGTAAACATCAGATTTGTCACATCCTTGATTGTTTAAAGTCGTGGTCAATTCACTACCAAACCTGGTTGTCTCGAACCCTAGAAAATGGATTTATTCTTTATAACAATGCAATTCCTGATCGCCAAATAATCGTAAACGACACTGTTTTCGGCACTCCGCATGTTTCGAAATACAGATAAGTATATATTTTGACTGGAAAAACGAGGTTTGACTGAATTTGGATCGAGTTTGAGTGATATATGTATAATGCTAACACAATTCATACAGTTAAAACAAACCAAAATCTCATGACTTGGTTGAATTGTCGTTGTAATTCTGGCCCTTCGTGTAGTTTCAAGCTCTGTCATCATTAAGCTTGAATGGGTTTCCACGTGTTTGGATCAGTGCCGCTTGTATGACATGATAACCACAATTTCGCGAAAATCCGGTGTTCAGGGCGATTCATAAAACATATGGACACGATAACAGTTGGATTTCAACTTTGGACTAGACTGTCAGCGGATATTTCCCTTCAGTATGGGATTTGTTACACTTATTGAAAGATACGTAAAATACACACGCCTTAACTCATTCGTTAGCTAAGATACATAGCGTTCACTAGAACATGTCAGTGAACGCTATGTATCTTAGCTACTCATTCGTGTGCCCGTTGTGATGCCTGATATGTAACGTTAACCGTAATTTCTTACTTTAGTTATGGGACGCGTTCTGAAAAACGGCCTTGACCTCTTGGGAACCGGAAGGAATGTCACGGTTGACAAGACCTTTGCAGGGGAGATAAGCGAAATGCTTCGACTAGCTGAGACATCCAGTATTGAGCGAGAGAAACAACATGCACGTGCACTAAAGCTGTGGTCGGACGGGTAAGATATATTCATCATGACCAAGTGTAATGTAGAACAATAAGTTGCACTGTTGCAATCAACTAAATTCTGCGAGAGGTAATTTAGAGACACGCTTTTTTTTGTGAGTGAGTGAGTCAGTCAGTCAGTGGGAATTAACGCCAAATTGGGAAAGTCAGTGACCGTTACTAAGGGAATCTGTGTTAGGACAGGAACATAATCACATACTAGATTTCGAATCCACGACTACCAGGGTGTCGTTGTACAATACAACCTTATCGCTAAGGTGATCACAACTCCCATACCTTAACATAGACTTACGACAGTCTTAGAGGGGCGGTGGGGTAGCCTAGTGGTTAAAGCGTTGGCTCGTCATGCCGAAGGCCCGGGTTCGATTCCCCACATGGGTACAATGTGTGGAGCCCATTTCTGGTGTCCCATGCCGTGATATTGCTGGAATATTGCTAAAAGCGGCGTAAAACCAAACTCACTCACTCACTTAGCGCTAAGGTTGTTTTGTACAACGGTACCCAGATCTTACATTGCTAAGAGATGGAGTTTTTCGAAAGCTTTAAGGCTAATGGTCCAGGGGCTCCTTTCACAAAGCAACCTTTACTAAGGTTAACCTTAACTCCCATTCTTTAACATTGCACTAAGGTTACCTTAGTGACTTACGATCACCTTAGTGCTTTGTGAAAGGAGGCCCTGACCGCTAAGATACAAATTCTAGGGGACCGTGTCACCATCACAGGGGCTTGTATTGCTGAAAATAATACGTCCTGGGTCCTACATTCGTTCATTGATATCCATATATGTATATGTATATGTATATGGATATCAGTGAACGAATGTAGGACCCAGGACGTATTATTTTCAGCAATACAAGCCCCTGTGGTCACCATCAAATTGTCATTGAAAGTGATGCCGAAGTACCGATGCCTTCAACTAGCAAATGATACACATTTCTAAAGGTAATTCAAAATTATCATCATAATCACCATAATTTATGCTTGATTTGTGTATTTCTATGACGTGAACCTGGCGAATACATTGTTTCCAAGGTTGACCCCCGACGCGTGTGACATATGGGAGGACATTTTGCTACAGAATCCCCTGGACATCCTGGCACTCAAGTTTGCACACGACTCATATTTCTACCTTGGCTTCCCCAATCAGAATCGAGATAGCATAGCTCGAATCTTGCCGAAATGGAACCCAGCAATGCCTCTATACGGGTAGGTGAAACTCCAAGAGCTCCGAATGTTATACGTTTTATAACGTTTTAGTTAGATGCATATCAATGTAAAAATTAATGAAGTACTTGTATGACTGAACAATGCAAAGCGCACTAAGCCCAATACCGTTAAAGGATTCCAGACTCACTGCTCCAGTTGACGTGGACTACATATGGGTGATGGTTTTGGAGTTGTGGAACAACAATTGTGGAAACAGTTATCAACATGTGTATGATCTTGAGCCATTCTATGTGGATGTGTTTTATTGAAAGGTGTGCTTAACTGATAGTTAGGTTTTTTTGTGGTTTGTTTTTTTACGCCGCACCCAGTAATAGTCCAGCTATATGGCGACGATCTGTTAATAATCAAGCCTGGACCATACAATCCAGTGAACAACAGCATGAGCATTAACCTACATTGGGATACGATAACATGTGTCAACCAAGTCAGCGAGCCTGACCACCCGATCCCAACAAACTGTAGCGTGTCTGATTTCATTTACCAAAATGCCCATCGACAAATATATGTATGGCGTTAAAAACCTGTGATGTTACGTGGCAATACAATTGAAAAATCAGTCTAAATACGTTTTTAATTGAAAAATATTCAACATGATAAATAGCTTAAATATGTTAGAAGAGTTTGTCCATAAAATATAGACACTCCACTGGGCTGGAATGTGTTCCTGTATTAATCAGAACATACATGTATATCAATTCATTAAATTATTGTTTTATACACCTAAAATCATCAGCGCGTCGATGATGATGATGATGATGATGATGATCTGGAGATTTAACGCGCACTTTCCTTATAATGCGCAAGCGCATCATATACCTTACGACTTTTGTGTAAGAATGTATTGAGTTTCCATTACTTTACGTACTGTACGTTAAACCAGAAATTATTGAGAATTTAAAGATTGTATTTTTATATTTTTTTTCACTCATTAATCGCGTATTAAATGTGAATATTAGCAGAACATAACTCCAGATTCAAAGACAAGTGATTATTGAGAATTTAAAGATTGTATTTTTTATATTTTTTTCACTCATTAATCGCGTATTAAATGTGAATATTAGCAGAACATAACTCCAGATTCAAAGACAAGTGAACAGTTAGTATTTTGTCAAGTCACCATGGGCAGCAATGCAGGCTTCAATGCGGCGGGCCATACTACTGATCAAAGAAGTTAGAAAGTCGTGGTCCATGCTGTCCCAATATCGGACCACCTCTTCTTTCATTTCAGCAATACATGTCAGATTTTTCTTATTGACACTTTCCTTCATAAGTCCCCAAACATTTTCTATTAGATTGAGGTCAGGGCTATGGCTTGGCCAATCTAATAATGTCTTATTTTCGGTCCGAAACCAGGCCTGTGAATGCTTTAAACGATGTTTTGGGTCGTTGTCCTGCTGGAAAATCAAAGAATTTCCATAGAACACGTGAGCAGATGGAAGTAAATGTCCCTCGAGAATATCTGTGTACCGCTCACTGTTCATATTCCCTTCAAATACACAGAGGGGCGTTGCCCCTAACACAGATATACCACCCCACACGTTAAATTTCGGACTGTACTTTGGGCGCTGATACAAAGGGTTTTCAGTTTGTTTGGTCCAGAATTTCAGTGTATTAGGAAACAGCCACACAGAACTTTCATCTGAGAAAATCATATTGTCCCAGTTAAAATGTCTATGCTGTAAGCACCAGTTCAACCTTCGCTCCTTTTGTTCAGGTTTCATGATCGGTGATGGAATTCCTCGACTTTTCTGCCAACCCATTGCATGCAGCTCAGTTCTAATTGTCTCCTTACAGACAGCCACAGTTCCTCTATCAATCATATCCAGCCTTAAGTTTTCTAAACTCCTTCGTTTGTTTTTAGAAACAAGAATACCAAACCGCCTCCTGTCACCGACAGTCAATTTTTCTGGGCCTACCTGCGCCTCCCTGGTGCTCAATGCCATATCCATTTGCAATATTTTTCAAAACACGATAAACAGTGGACAATGGGATGCCTGTTCTACTTGAAATCACTTTAGCTGATCTGATGTCCTTGTTATAATACTCTAAAATCAACTTCCTCCTCTCTAAATCATCCATACTGAGGATCACTAAAAATGTCGTCTGCTAGCAAGTAAGCAAAGGGGGATAACTCTTCACAAACTAATGAAAAAGGATTAACAGAGTTGTCTCTCTTGAATGAAACCAAGCACTTGATAGCTGGTCAAGGTTGTTTATACTAGAAATCCAATTAAACATATTCCTAAAATTCTCAATAATTTCTGGTCATACTATATATGTTTCCGTTTCCTCTGGCAGATACCTGGTCGGGATGTACTCTTTTGGCTTGGAGGAGTGCAACTTGTATGACCAGGCGGAGAGAACGGCCAAGCAGGTCAGTTACTGGTCATCTTGGTCAGTGTTTCACGTCTTTTAAAAGAAATATTCAAATCAGTTGATGCATTAGCATCTGTTTACGTGGAGGTCAGACTGATGATAGCTTCATACTGGACATGTTAACGTGTAGTCAGCTCTTCGGATACATTCAGCTTCACGTTACGTTATCTATCCTAACAACAGGGCCCGTAAGTAGGTCACGGCACTTCACGAGACCTTAGTACTTCCGGTGACAAACAACGTTTCATACCTTTTCGAATGGTCTCATGGTTGTCAGTTGGCAGTAGGGAACCGATAATCCTTGCAGGAATAACAAATTTCCGATCTAACTATCCCGCAATTAGCCAAATATTGAGATTGTCAACAGCTGGGACAGCCAAGCGTGGTTGTACATTTGGTCCGTTCTAGTAAAGTCGTATTTGGCGGTCGCGCAATTCGGAACCAGAACTGGTTCTTGCCACCGGAAATCTGGTCCCGGAAGTAAGCTGTGCCGTGGCACGCGTATCGCAAGTTGGGGGCCGGGAAGTAGCGCCTCGCGAGACTTACAGGCCCTATAGCCTTCTTCTCTATGAGAATGGTTTAAGTCACTCATCTCCATATCAAGAGATGCTTTCAGTTGTAATGTTATTCAAATCATGTTTAAATAAGCCCACACAATGGAATGTTTGTTATTGTCAATGTGCACGGCACGTTATTGAAGATGAATGTATGTATGTACTTTTTGTTGAGAGGTTTATCCGGGTTATTGTTGTCTCTCTAGGGGCTGAATCTGAATCCCCGGGATGCCTGGTCCACCCACACACTGTGTCACGTAATGGAGATGACAGGGCGCCAGGATGAGGGCATCTCCTTCCTCACAGACACGGTCGAAAACTGGGCGGTAAGTGTAGAGGGTCAGACATGGTCAAGAACTGAGCGGTGAATATCGAGGGTCAGACACGGTCAAGAACTAGGCAGTGAGTATAGAGGGTCAGACACGGTCAAGAACTGAGCGGTGAGTGTAGAGGGTCAGACACGGTCAAGAACTGGGTGCCGAGTATAGAGGGTCAGACACGGTCAAGAACTGGTAGCGGAGAGGTCAGACACGGTCAAGAACTGGTCAAGGACTGGCGGTCGAGACACGGTCAAGAACTGGGCGGTGAGTATAGAGGGTCAGACACGGTCAAGAACTGGGCGGTGAGTATAGAGGGTCAGACACGGTCAAGAACTGGGCGGTGAGTATAGAGGGTCAGACACGGTCAAGAACTGGGCGGTGAGTATAGAGGGTCAAGAACACGGTCAAGAACTGGGAGTATAGAGGTCAGACACGGTCGGTGAGGGTCGACACGGTCAAGATAGAGTATAGAGGTCAGACACGGTCAAGAACTGGGCGGTGAGTATAGAGGGTCAGACACGGTCAAGAACTGGGCGGTGAGTATAGAGGGTCAGACACGGTCAAGAACTGGGCGGTGAGTATAGAGGGTCAGACACGGTCAAGAACTGGGCGGTGAGTATAGACGGTCAGACACGTCAAGAACTGGGCGGTGAGAGAGGTCAGACACGGTCAAGAACTGGGCGGTGAGTATAGAGGGTCAGACACGGTCAAGAACTGGGCGGTGAGTATAGAGGGTCAGACACGGTCAAGAACTGGGCGGTGAGTATAGAGGGTCAGACACGGTCAAGAACTGGGCGGTGAGTATAGAGGGTCAGACACAGTCAAGAACTGGGCGGTGAGGGTCAGTATAGAGGGTCAGACACGGTCAAGAACTGGGCGGTGAGTATAGAGGGTCAGACACGGTCAAGAACTGGGCGGTGAGTATAGAGGGTCAAACACAGTCAAGAACTGGGTGGTGAGAATAGAGGGTCAGACACGGTCAAGAACTGGGCGGTGAGTATAGAGGGTCAAACACAGTCAAGAACTGGGTGGTGAGAATAGAGGGTCAGACACGGTCAAGAACTGGGCGGTGAGTATAGAGGGTCAGACACGGTCAAGAACTGGGTGGTGAGTATAGAGGGTCAGACACGGTCAAGAACTGGGCGGTGAGTATAGACGGTCAAACACAGTCAAGAACTGGGTGGTGAGTTTTACGATCGCAATCGTATAATTCCTCATTTTGACAAAAATAGTTCTTTAGTTTTTATTACCCAGCTGCAATTTCTTTCGTTGTTGATCCTTAGAATAATCTTGATGAATTTGGTTCCAGAGTTGTGGGATGCTGGCTTGTCACAACTACTGGCACTGGGCACTGTACTACATAGAGAAGGTGATTATTACATTCACATTACCCTCCGCATGTTCTTCAGGATGTGATCGGGCTGTATATCAATACCACCCGGCATTGTTGAAACATCTACCAGAATTTCTATTTGAAATTAAATTCGATCCATGTATATTTTCTTTTACCTTTCTCCGTAATTTATCGATGTTGTTTTCTTATTGTTTTCTTCTTCTTGAAACATACACTATCTCGCAAATTCGTATTTGAAATTAGTTCTGTCTAATTCAATTTCAATGTCTCTCTTGACTGCATATTATGTACCTGAACTTAAATAATGTGAACTGAATTATTTCATCGGACTGACATCAACGTCTCTCTTTCACAGGGTGAATATCAGGGAGCCCTGGATATTTTCGACACCCAGGTAATTTACAAGATCTTACTACCCTCGTTGAAGCTTTATAGCTGTAATACACATGGCATTAGGCCATTGTTAGGCACCGGTATGAAGAAGTTGCTCTAAGACAACATTTAGGATCTAAAGCTTACAGTAGCGCTTAGTATAAAGAGTGTTAACGTCTTAGTGACAATGTATTACCGATGTGATGGTGTTTGGGTGCCATAGGAAGGTTTCAGGTTAATGATCATGAAAGTCAGTAGATATTAAATTTATATCTACTAAAGTCTTTGCTAGAAACTAGCATCTGCAAATGCTTCAGTTAATGAAGAGGCATCAGACAGTGCCCTTCTTCGCACAATGAAAGAACTTGGTATCTGGATCTAAATTAATTTTTTAATGTTACTTGTAAGAAATATTTTTATTTTCTTGCCACAAATATTTTCGTTTGTTAAGATAACTGTGCCAAATTAAATGAAGACGTCACTCGATGGCTGAATACTGTTTCCATTGTCATGATGTATATTAAATACTGCACTGTTTTCCTGGATAAACTGATGGCTCTTTTACTGAAATATCGCTGTTATACATGTTAATATATATTGGTACATTATTCGTTATAAGCGCATTACCCGATACATTAACTAGTGTTGGGAATTGGTTACAATCTCATAATTGATGATTGATTCATTACAACTGATCAATCATCGAAAATAATTGGTTAGCCTCATTTATCAAATTTTCCTATAATGTTTGTTCATGCTGCAGAAAAAACACAAAAACATTTAGTTCTTTGGGTTTGTTTAAATTTCAAATCTTTAAAGGATGACTAGTATGTTAGGAACATACATTTCCTGTGGCCTTAAATTCAAGCATGACTAGGAACGAGTAGTGCTCATGAAATGTAAATTTAATGACACGGACAAAACAAAATATTGTTGATACAAACAAGTGTTTAAAAATTGTTTGTGTTCGATTGTGAGAAAACGTGATCAATTGCTTGGTCGTTTAGTCACTGCGACCAATCTTCGATTATTTCAATTAATCGGACCACCATTAACATTAACTTAGGTTATATATGAAATACATGTAGTGACGAAATCCATTCAATAGTGCCATAGTAAACGGTCAGTGTTTGGACAACAAGTCTAGCAGCTGCTGTTCTGTATTATAATATTAATCTATCTGCTGGTGTATTATTTCAAATACACTCCAGTGGAATTACCTAACGTGGTATCTTGTGTTATCCCTGATCGTCAGTGATGAAGGACATAATTGTCAATACTGTTTCAGGGGTGGAAATAACTTTAAAATTGCTAGTGTACTCCGGTACAGTGGCACATGTAAAATCACTTGCCCTGATCATTTTTCCACTATACCGGCTGTTTTCTTGTTGATGTGTATTTTAAATAAACAACATTATTAAATCGGTTGGAAAGTCAACTGGACACACTGATCGGTACAGTGTGATATACAAATTTGCTTACCCAATACCTGACAGAAAAATAACACTGGACTCGGACGTCGGGCAATGGGTTATTTCCACCCTGCTGTTTTTAGTTTTATGCCACCCACTATTCCAGCTTCCGGTCTGTGAGGTACCCAAGACTACCATGTGATCTACTATATGACATGTGTCAACAAGTCGAGTCTGCCATAACGAACTCAAAGAGGGTTGCTGAAGAAATTATTTCAATCACGTATTATCACGTACTTTTCTGTATTTTTGAAAGCAATTTATTCACATTTGCGGTATATTGGATACGGTGTGTCTAGTTACCTTACTGGTTAATAGATACTGTATTGTGTATAGAGAGAGATGCAGAACTAAAGGTAGCTGGCAGATGTTACTTATTGAATACCACTAACACCTGGCAATTCACACCATATTTCATCTTTAATTGATTTCCCAGCCAGTTATAGCCAGCCAGCGTTATACAAGTAATAGAGCGATACAGAACGTCACGCGTGACATGACACCACAGAGAGAGAGAGAGAGATGTGTGTGTGTGGGGGGGGGAGGGGCAGACAGACAATGTTGTGTGTGTGTTCGCGTGTGTGTGTAACCGGATAGATAGGCAGGCAGGTAAAGTTAATTAATGAGAGGGGATGGGTACTATTTTCTGGCTTAGAACGGAGTATGACCTTAATTATATCCCCATGATGAAAGAGTGAGTGAGTGAGAGGGGAGGGAGGGAGGAGAGACAGACAATATTGTGTGTGCGCGTGTATGTGTGTATGTGTGTGTAACCGGATAGATAGGCAGGCAGATAAATGAGAGGGGGTGGGTACTATATATGTGAGTGTGTGAGTTTAGTTTTACGCCGCTTTTAGCAATTTCACGGCGGGGGACACCAGAAATGGGCTTCACACATACGATCCATGAAATGGCGTGACTTTAACACTACTATCCACCGCCCCGGTACTATATATAGTGGGAGAATTGCAACCGCCTCGGTGGTGTAGTGGTTAGAGCCTCCGCCCTGAGAGCGGAAGGTCGTGGGTTCGATCCCCGACCGCGAACGCTTAAAATATGGTACTTGTTGGTCCCTGCCTGGCGCTCGGCATTAATGGGTACAACAAGGACTGGTCGGCTCGGAGGATACTGAGTGGGGTATCATGCCACTGCGGCATGGTATCTCATATATAGTCTGAGGTGCATGCACGTCGTCATATGAGCGAAATATTCTCAAGCACGACGTAAAACTCAATTTCACCTCAGACATAGCAATTTGTAATGGCACCAGACCATAGTCCTGAGGTACCCTCCAAGACACTCCTCCTTTTCAGTTAAAAAAACCCCGATGAATATATATGTTCCTGTTAAACTCTGTGGGTCTGCTTGATGAATCGCTCATTACAATATTAAGATAGAAATCTCATTCTTCATGCTTTTTACAATCAGACTTTCTAACCAGTTATATTGGATGTCGTCTATTGCTGACAGGCAATGGCCATATACATTCATGGTTTGGGAGAGATATAGCTGTTGTTCTGTATTCAACAGGTCACTGTGAGAAGCTGTAAGTCTGGGGCACTTCTGGACATGGTGGACGCTTGCTCTCTGCTCTTCAGACTCGAGATGGAAGGTACACGTGATTACATGTCCTAGCAGATTTAAATGGGGTAAGACGTCCTAGGACTGACTGTACAGTTCAATCTGTCGACTAGGCAACGCAATTCGCTGGACGGGCTGGGTCCCTTAGCAGTCCCGGATCCGCTGTGTCTCAGATTCGCACCGAAAATGACTCAGGGTTTGTCAACACCATAGTCACGACCGATACTGTTATGACTACCTCAACTAAATCTGACATGTAAGAAAGCTGCATTGTATATATTATGTAAATGTCCAAGTAATGTACAAACTAACCTTCCAAAGAACCACCAAACACATTACATTATCCTTTGAACGAGACGAGGGCGGTGGGTAGCCCATTGGTTAATGCGTTCGCTCGTCACGCCGAAGACCCGGGTTCGATTCCCCACATGGGTACAATGTGTGAAGCCCATTTCTGGGCCTAGATTTTCGAAGCTCTCTTAGCGCTAAGATAGTCGTGAGATAATGTTAATGTATGGCGCTTACGACTATCTTAGCGCTAAGAGAGCTTCGAAAATCTAGGCCCTGGTGTCCCCCTCCCTGATATTGCTGGAATATTGCTAAAAGCGGCGTAAAACTCACTCATTAAACGATACGTATATATGTAACCAAGCAGCATACAAACTTAATGTGTACTGTTTATGTGTAGGCGTGGACGTTGGCGAGAGATGGAACGACATATACGACGTTTGCCGACCTCACGTCGACGATCACATTTTAGCATTCAATGACGTTCACATCCTGATGGCGTGTCTAGCCTCCAAAAAGCCGGATGCCGCCAAACAGATGATGGAATCTATCAAGCAATTCGTACAGTAGGTATCTCTAATATATGCACAGTTCAATGACACGGTCGCGCGATTGATGTTCACTTTGCGATTACAAATGATAGTTTCAAGGGCGAACTGCAGTACTAGCGATAGGACAGGAGAGATAATATCATTGATACTAATTGCACTGCATCGATCGAATAGGGCGTTTTGAGCATATATTTGATATGCAAGATAATTACAATCGTCCATATCAGCTAAAGGTTTATTGAATAGATATGTAATTATAACTGTTTGCCTCGTGAGCGACATATCTACACAAATTGTCGTTTAGTATATTATTCCTATCCACGAACGTCATGCATTAATTTATGCCTTCAAAATGGCATCACTCTCATCTAAATCGGAATATCGTTTACTCCGATACATCTCCACTATCAACAGATCAATCTCATCTAAATAAGGCTATTGTTTACTCCTATACATCTCCACTATCAATAGATCACTCTCATCTAAATAAGGATATTGTTTACTCCTATACATCTCCACTATCAATAGATCACTCTCACCTAAATCGGAATATCGTTCACTATCAACAGATCACTCTCACCTAAATCAGGATATTGTTTACTCCGATACATCTCCACTATCAATAGATCACTCTCACCTAAATCGGAATATCGTTTACTCCGATACATCTCCACTATCAATAGATCACTCTCACCTAAATCGGAATATCGTTTACTCCGATACATCTCCACTATCAATAGATCACTCTCACCTAAATCGGAATATCGTTTACTTCGATACATCTCCACTATCAACAGATCACTCTCACCTAAATCGGAATATCGTTTACTCCGATACATCTCCACTATCAATAGATCACTCTCACCTAAATCGGAATATTGTTTACTCCGATACATCTCCACTATCAATAGAGATCACTCTCACCTAAATAAGGGATAATTTACTCCGATATCATCTCCACTATCAATAGATCACTCTCACCTAAATCGGAATATTGTTTACTCCGATACATCTCCACTATCAATAGATCACTACCTAAATCGAGGTTTATATCACTTTACTCCGATACATCTCCACTATCAATAGATCAGATCACTCTCACCTAAATCGGAATATCGTTTTATCAATAGATCTCTCACCTAAATCGGATACATCTCCACTATCAATAGATCACTCTCACCTAAATCGGAATATTGTTTACTCCGATACATCTCCACTATCAATAGATCACTCTCACCTAAATCGGAATATTGTTTACTCCGATACATCTCCACTATCAATAGATCACTCTCACCTAAATCGAGAATATCGTTTACTAAATAAGAATATTGTTTACTGATACATCTCCACTATCAATAGATCACTCTCACCTAAATCAAGGATATTGTTTACTCCGATACATCTCCACTATCAATAGATCACTCTCACCTAAATAAGGATATTGTTTACTCCTCCACTATCATACATCTCCACTATCAATCAGATCACTCTCACCTAAATCGGAATATCGTTTACTCCGATACATCTCCACTATCAATAGATCACTCTCACCTAGATAATCCGATATTGTTTACTCCATCTCCATACATCTCCACTATCAATAGATCACTCCACTCACCTAAATAAGGATATTGTTTACTCCGATACATCTCCACACCTAAATCGGAATATTGTTTACCTCGATACATATCAATAGATCACTCTCACCTAAATCGGACTATCAACAGATCATTGTTTACTCCGATACATCTCCACTATCAATAGATCACTCTCACCTAAATAAGGATATTGTTTACTCCGATACATCTCCACTATCAATCAGATCACTTCACCTAAATATTGGAATATTTGTTTACTCCGATACTATCAATCAATACACTCCGATCTCCACTATCAATAGATCACTCTCACCTAAATAAGGATATTGTTTACTCCGATACATCTCCACTATCAACAGATCACTCTCACCTAAATAAGGATATTGTTTACTCCGATACATCTCCACTATCAATAGATCACTCTCACCTAAATAAGGATATTGTTTACTCCGTTTCCACTCCGATACATCTCCACTATCAATAGATCACTCTCACCTAAATAAGGATATTGTTTACTCCGATACATCTCCACTATCAATAGATCACTCTCACCTAAATAAGGATATTGTTTACTCCGATACATCTCCACTATCAATAGATCACTCTCACCTAAATAAGGATATTGTTTACTCCGATACATCTCCACTATCAATAGATCACTCTCACCTAAATAAGGACATTGTTTACAATGATACATCTCCACTGTCAATAGTTCACTCTCACCTAAATAAGGATATTGTTTACTCCGATTCATCTCCACTATCAATAGGTCACTCTTACCTAAATAAGGATATTGTTTACTCCGATACATCTCCACTGTCAATAGTTCAATCACATCTAAATTGGAATATCGTTTACTCAGATACATTTCTTCTATCAGTAGATACCTCTCGTCTAAATTGGAATATCGCTTACTCTGATATGTCTCCACTATCAATAGATAAGTCTCAAATTATTCAGAACATCGTTTACTCTGATACATCTTTGCATCGCGATCTGAGCACAATGACAGGAGGTTGAGTAAAATGAACTAGTACTCTTAGCGACCTTTCTAATTGATGGATACGTAGGTTCTTGGGGCAATCATGTATCAGCTTTCGAAAACCATTACCACGACTCCGAATTTAAAACTGTTCACTCAAAACCAGCACAGAATACAGGTATTTCACATATCATATCATACTTAATTTAATTATCTTCATTCGGAAGAGAACGTTTCGTTTTCGACATACAAAAATTCTGCTTTTGTGAATGCTACGATAACTTGCACCAAGAATTTTAAAGTCTATTCAGTGATTACTGACTGATAAGTTTACCAACGCCACTTCTATGGAAAGAGTCTTAGATCTTCAGTGATTAAAAGAACTTATATTTATGAAATTGCCAAAATATGAAGTTCCTTGTGATATGAAGCCAGCACGTCAATAAAACTAGAACTATACTGGTACATGGATATTGGCCGTAAATATTCATGAAAAAAGCCAACATTTGCAATTTGAACACATTTTGGAAATATTGAAAATTCCACATACAAATCCAATACATGTACCTATTAACGCCAAGGAAATGTTTCCGCAGGAACGGGCGCGGCACCAACCAGGCTGTGACGGAGGAGGTCGGTGTGTCGTTGTGTGAGGCATTCGTAGCCTACAAGGACGGTGACTACGCCAAAGCTGTCGACCTACTGAAACCCATCAGATATAACATAATAAAGATTGGCGGCAGTCACGCTCAGGTGGGAAACTTCACGGTTGTTGTTGAAACATCCTCTATTATAAAGGGCATAGGATCTCCATTACCCTCGACCCATTCGTTGCCATAGTTTGGGGTTTTATGGTTGGTTGTTTGACTTGTTTTGTTTTTTTGTTTTGTTTTTTTGGTGTGTTTTTTCTTTTTCTTTGTGGTTTAACGCCGCACTCAGCATATATATGCCAGTCGTATGCCGGTGATCTGTAAATAATCGAGTCTGGACCAGAAGACAGTTAGGATACGATGACATGCATGCATCTAACCTTGCTTCAGTTTAGCCGTATAAGCACCATAGCTAAATCTACTGTCAGATGAAACTGAAACATGAGTCCTATGAACCAATTCAGACAATGACCTACTTTTCAGTCGATCCGAATTTTCTCGTGTGAAAGTGAAAAGAGACACTACAAACAACTATGGTTACACGAGATTCCAGTTCCTTGTTTCATAGGAAAACGGTATCTACAAATGAATTTTAATCTTAAACTTTGAAAAAAATTTCTATATTTTATGGCGAGGTTTAGGCAACATGATGTAAACTAAGACGTCACAGATTGCCCCTGTGTGAAGAGGTCGCAAAATGATTCACAATTCATCTGGCTCACTGGTTACACCTATTATGTGTTCTCTGCGCTTATAACGTGTTTTTTGGTAACGTAGAATGTGATTGATATAATATCAAGTCCGTACAAGGCCGCCAATCTTTTCTAGCGGCCGAGCCTCGTTTTGAGATTTCCACTATTTCCGTTTGTCAGAGCACGCTGCACGACGTGTTAGCAAGGATTAGAAGGAGCGTAGTGTTGCAGTATACAAGTGATTAGATGTATCAAATAATACTGATTAATATTTATATATCAAGCTGAATGAGTTGGTCTCAAAATTCCGGACTGGTTATTTTACTAAGTTGCGCAATAGGACGGAACCCAGTCAGCAAGAAACGAGACTGTTGTTTAATCAATGTTTTGACTTGAAGTTAAACTCATCAGCGAGAGCAATTCTTCGGAACGTTAGCGATTAGAAATTGTGAGAAATAACGTCACGTTTATTTGCCAGTGGATTGGTGGTAATCGCCATAATCCATTTGATAACCGAGAATGTAAATTCTATTAGTAATTACGCCAAATGAGATAAAGATAGATATAAGATCAAATAGAAATAGGAATGACTTACGTTTATGAATGACTTAATAACACCCGTTTCACTTTCAGCGGGACATCTTTAACCTGTTCTTGATTCAGGCTGCCATCAAGTCCCCGTCTACGGAGCACCACAAGCTCGCCAGGTAATACCTTAGTGTGGGCCATCACCATGGTAACGGAGAGTCTGTTACCTTATTCTTGTACAGCCTACCCGATTTTCCCCTGCGTATTTGTGAGAGTCAAACGAGTGCAAGTTGGTTTTCTCGAAGATGTATGTTCCTCCTTACTTTTAGAACTATCAATTACCTTATGAGATGATTGACCATTTGGGGAGCAGTGTGATGGAGGCGTTTTGGAAAGTGATCATTTACTAGTGTAATTCAAAGAAGACTACGTCGTAATACGTCGTTAACGCAGTTGACCTGACAACAAGTCCTGACCAGTGAAACCATGACGTGTCTTTTGAGCAACCACCAGTTGGTGTTAGTTTGCTTTTACGCCGCCGCTTTTAGCAATATTCCAGCAATATCACGGCGGGTTACATCAGAAATGTTCTTCACACATTGTTCTAATGTGGGGAATCGAACCCGGGTCTTCGGCGTGAAGACCAAACGCTTTAACCACTAGGCTACCCAACCCCTCATGGGGAGACGTCAAAGCAATGCTACTCGTTCCCTTTATTATTCCAACAGGTTTCAGACTAAATATGTAATTAGTATATGTGAAAGTGACAGAGACATTGTCTTTTAGTAATTAGGTTATGATAACGTCAACGATAGATATATTACCGGACCTATAACGGATTTAAGTGAATATTTCTGTACGTTGCATCTTCAATTTTGCAGGTAGTCGCAACTTTTAATTGTATATTTTTGTAGTGATTATGTAAGTCATATATCTAACCATTCATTTCTGCTGTCACGCAGCATATGTCACTGGCCCCAAAAGTAGAAATGTAAAGACTAATTATAGACTGGTTACCGGGTAACAATTCAGGCTTTTAGTCGTCAACATCAAAAGGACAGTTTACTGTCATCACAGTTGCCATGGCAATGAAAAATTGTGAAATTGTAACTACATACTGGCGTTACAAATCCATAATCCGGAAGTCAGATTGGCTACAATGGGAAATGTGTTCGTTGACACACAAACGGATTAGGTTATAATTTTTCTCAAATCTGTCATTTTGAGAAAGATAAAATCCATTATTTCCAGGGGGTGAGTTGAATGATTATTTCACCCACTTGGCAACATGCATGCAGTCGGGTCAGACTGACCTTTAGTCACAGAAATAATGTTATCTTATTTGTTAATATATAAGAAGTGTTTATCTGTGAAAACAAATCCAAATGGAGCCCAGAAAAATCCTGAATTTCTACAGATAGGCAATGAATCTAGACTTGAGTTAGGACTCCTATATGATTTATTCACTAGGGTCTGAGCCACAGACTTGCTCTTGGGTATGTCGCTGGGTTTTCTTTGTTTTTGGTTTTTGTTTGGTTGTTTGGCTGGTTGGTTGGCTGGTTGGTTTGTTTGGTTTGGGTTTTTTTAATAATGGGTTTGTATAGCGCCTACTTTCCACCATACGATGCTCAACGGTGTTGAAATCACAATCGGATTATGTTTACCCCGGACAACCCAAGCTGCCTGTTAGGCGCTTTAAGGTTAATAGTCACTTGACTTATCCCACCGGGTACCTATATTACTGCTGGGTATTTGTCAGTGTTAAGGTGCTAGCCCACTGAGATACCATGTAACAGTTAAACTGACTGACTGTAGGATATCCCACTCAGACGCATTATACTGACTCGGAACAGGCCATTAAGTTACATATTGTAACACAGGATCGAATCACGACACCACTGGGCGGTGTCTTCACTAACATCCGGGCATTCGTGACGCCAATTATATATTTCCGTTACACGCTTCGGAGTTTGCTGTGGTGACACGAGTCGTATCAGGTTAGGGCAGTAGACCCAGTGTTTAACTGAATTAATACAGGTTCTGGTTTGTTTCCCTCAGGTCGCTGTTGATGGAGAGAAAAGCCCTGAAGGAAAACGCCCCAATGACCGACAGGCTCATTGCCAAGGCCATGGCTGTCCACGCTGATTGAAGGTCAAGGATCATCGCTGTTTAGGGAGATCCTATGTCGAGCTGACACAGGTCATGCTGACGGAACGTCCAGTTTCGCGACGCACCACGCTGAATGAGCCATATAATCTGTTCTTTATCTCAGCACCGCTTTACGCTGAGGCCACTCAATATCTGAAAGTTGAAAGGAAATCACAATTATTTTGTATATGTATGTAAGTAAAATGCTACACGATATGGAGGTAGGCAAAGTTACATGTATAACATGGACGGCAAATGACGAGAATTATACCTCATTCACTGCAATAGACGATAAATATACGTCATTCAAAAAGACGACAAATATACATCATTCACTGCAATAGACGTTAAATATACGCCATTCAAAAAGACGACAAATATACGTCATTCACTGCAATAATTCGTTGTCCAGAAACCATAGAATATTTACAATGGCTGCTTACTTCAAACAGCATCTTTAAATCATCTGATTAAACAGGTATAACCCGACGAATGGGGAGACGATTTTTAAATCGTACACGGTGATCGATGAGAGAAACTGGAACCTCGACCCAAGGTCAAATGTCACGTCGATGTAATTCGATAGGACCATCAAAAATAATCCCAAATCATTGCCCATATATTGTGCCACATGATATATATATACAACGTGTCCCGACTGAATGAATACGTTATTTGTTTAAACAGTTGTTCAAACAATATCCAAGAATACTGACATAATGTGACACGTTTGAAATATTGTATAAGCACAGTTAATCACTCACTCGCTGTGCTTGTTTTTGATGGATGTTTTAATTTATTCCTGCACGAGTGGCAACTTGCTATTGGATTTCAGCAACATTTTTACCACACGCAATAATATTTTACTGGCGTTTTTCTTTCAACACGTGTTTGCTGACACTAAAGGCCACACACAGTTTACAGGATTAAAGGGCAGATACTTGATGTGTCACTGTCCATCGTATAACACTTTCAATAATCAAAGGGAATCTCTCAAAGCAGAGATCTTTGTACGATTCCAACTATGTCAAGCATGTGTTGAATTACTTCCAAATAATGATGATACCATCAAAACACAGGCAGTGGCAGGTCAATTGTTCTTAACAGGAACATGTGATTAGTCAAAGTAGGGAGTTGCTTTACAAATCATTTATGTCGCTGATGCATCAGATTTAACAATGTGCTCTTGCATACGATAGAAATCTTTCAAAGCTGTACTTATGGCTTGATCTCTTGGTACCCTGCTATTACACTATTTGATGCAGTTTACTGCTCTCTGCTCATGTAGTTTAGATGGGCATTGGCTACTTGACCATCATTCAACAATATGATCAGATTATCGATCTTAAGTTTGAGTTGAACATATTTTCAGTTTCAACTGATTTTACCAATCCGAGCATGAATTTCAACTGATATGCATGAAGAAGTAGTTCAACAAGGAAGGGAGCACAGTTGATGCCTAGAGGATGCCTATTTCTTGCCAAAACATCCTATTCCTGAATTTCATGAGGAAATTAAGAATTTCACATATTATTTTCGCACTAGTCTTTAAAAGATTGCTCTGAACCTTTGGACATAGAGAAGTAAATAATCTATGGCGGTACAGTGGAAAATGCCCTGTAGATGGAGATTTCATTAAGTATGTCATAGAACAGAGAATCGTAGAAAAGATTTTGATGTAACCGTACTGTATTCTTTTTTAAAAAGGCAAATAATCAAGAAAATCCTTTCTGTGTTCAGAATGAACATAATATTTTGCCACGATTATCAGATACTGTATGTAAATATAACGACGTCAAAATCACGTCAAAACGAATGAGAGACATTTGTGTATGTTTACAGCATATACTTTTGCCAGATCAAAATGTTGTGTTTAACATGATGCAGATGTAACTTAAGAGGAGTTTAAAATAAAACATACACCACATATGGACGGGTTATATTTTCATTAGCGTTATTGTTAACTTTTACCCAACGTTCAGCAATATTTCAGCGGTATTAGCGCGGAAGACTCACGGCGTAGATTGAAAGTTTGCTCCCACAGTGGGTATGGACGTCGGGTCGGGTATCCGCTAGGCTACCATAAACACTCTTGTTTGACGAAGTGAGTGAAAGCCTGAAGTCCAATGCCACTTATGATTCCAGTGGTATGGGTGTGCGCTTCATCTTATTTTTAGAAAAGCCTAACACGATTGATGCAGAAACACTGTCAACTTTTGGTGAAATAGGTACATGCTGAAAAGCCAAGGATTATGATCGGGACTTACAAGAGAGTCAATGCTACGATCAGTGTATCGTGGGACAACTAAGGGACGCAATTCTCATTGGTACAGGCAGGAATGCTAGGCCAACCGTGCTCCGTTTGACGAGGCTAACATCGACAAGTAAAGGTTTCACCCATGGAATTGAATACATAGTCACATTCACTCATTATTTGATCCCTGTCAAAATGAGAGTAATATTATCATCAACGTCCTGACAGGGGGCGAGGGTTAGAGTGAATGTAGACGTGAACGTCCTTGTCTCTTCAATCACGCCCTCATCCTCGCGAAATACCATGCCTAACATGTTGAAGTACATTGTTTGGTACAGAAACAATGCATACGCTGAAGTTCTTATTTAAAGAACCGCGAACATTACTTTCAGACTACACCTTTTGCACAGATCCGACAAGATCACAGAGCCTTTGACATCTACTGCATTGCAGAAACGAATCACTGTGTTAAAATTCATTGTTTGATCCAGAAACAATGCATACACAACAATTATCAGTTAAAGGGACATTACCAGCCAGACTTCACCTTATACTGGCCCGGTAAGATCTCACAGCTCCTAAAAACAAAACTTTTAAAGCAGTTTATTCTGTTTTGTTATTTACTGACCAAAATTGTCATGACGATATGTCGGGCCGAATGATAATATATCACCATCTGGAAACTTGTTAATTGACATTTGGAAAACGCTCCGTCTATATTTAAGCATCCCGAAATACATATCCCTACTTCCTTGTGTGGGAATCGTGTTTCCTCATCCTTTATATGTCCGGTCACTTTGAAGCCAAACACAGTTTACTATCTGTAGTGCACCACCACAACACATCATCTATACATTGTCCGCGACGCCAACTACATCACAAGTAAGTCTAATGACTATATTATCGCATGTTAGTTCTTAACCCTACACAAACAGAGGATATGTGCATATGTCAAATTATTTAAATTATATATTGTATACCTATGGTGTAAACTTTCAGTTAAATAATTTCGATTATATCATTCGGGAAATAACTAAACAACATTTATTTTTAATCTGAAAACTTTGCATTTGTGATAAATATTCCTACTGAAAGATTCTTCGACAAAATATTTTTGCAGTAATGCTATTATGCGCTGAGATTTAAGATAACTGAAAATAATTTCAGTAGTTTACCCTCTCCTATGAATACGTGTTTTTCACCAATACGTACATATATGATAAAGTTTATTGTGTACATTTATGAATTATTTGTTTTCACTATGAAATTGAACATTCTTAATCTGTGCCTGTAAATACATTGCTAATTGGTACATATGTGTATTTTGTAGGGATTAGAGAAAAATCTGGCAAATGTATTATCTGTGACATAATAGTTTTTCCTTCCTTTCTAAATCAATACCAGGAAGCATATAAAGTGTGATGTAGAAATATAACAGTAAATAAGAATAACAAAAGAGAAATAGTTTCAAGGCTGTCTTAAACAGATTGTTCAACTACATAAACCACTTTCTATTTACCAGTCCACAATGAATTCAAACATCTCAGATCTGACCAGCAATGAGATCGAAGAATATCTACGACGTCATGACGACCTCTACGCCATTAAATATTTCCCTGTCATCCTCTTCCTCGTCATCCTGATGCTGATAGGCGTCCTTGGAAACTCGTTGGTGTGTTACGTCTACATCGCTAAGTTCAAGCCCAGCACGACCCGATGTTTCGTAATCGCTCTTGCTGTCCTCGATCTCATCAACTGTTTCACCAGCATCCCGTTTGAGGTCATTGATATGAGACACACGTACACCTTCGGAGAATACAAGATATGTCGTCTAATGAAGCTGTTCGAGACCATCAACTCCATTGCCTCTGGAAGCGTTCTTGTAGCTGTAGCGGTGGACAGATTCAAGAAGATATGTCGTCCGCTACAGATCCAGATGACGACAAAGGTAGCCAACATCTCCATTGCCATCTGTTGCTCTCTGGCAGTGGTGCTTGCCGTCCCTGCCGGCTTCATCTATGGTGGCAGGACGGTGCCAACCGACAGGATCAACATCACGGGAGTGGACTGTTCCTTATCTGACCAGTTCATCGGTTCAACACTGCACATTGTGTACCTTGGTGTTCAGTTCCTGGTGTTCTTTGGAGCAGCACTGACCATTGCAGTTGTGTATAGCTTGATCTGGAGGCAGATCATACTTCAGAAAAGGTTCAAAGAGACTGTTTCTGTACGAAGAAGGGTTGAGGAAAGGATAATGGTTCTAGATACACCAACAGATGTTTCTGTCAATGCTCCAAACACTTCAGTCGACATTGTAAGTTCTTCCAAGTCGGACCAAGACGAATGCAGACTTCCTATGACAGAACTGGCGCCCTTGAACCACGGTGGTAAAGATGGCGTTCGGGAAACACCATTACATGGCGGATCTGGGGACGGTGTTCCTAAGAACGAGAACAGTATTTCCCATGAAAGTGACGTCACAGATCAAAGAATCAAATCTTTGGATGCAGCTGGGAAGTCTGAAAATCAGCCAGCCATGGTATCGACTGCTGACCAGACTTCGTTAATTGAACGTGGAAACAGATCGAATTCTAGATCTGTAAGTGCAAGACGTGAAACACGGTGCTCACAGCGAACAAAAGTAACGAGAAGGACAACGTTCATGATGTTTCTGATAACAGTTACGTTTGTGGCGTCGTTCCTTCCCCACCTTTCCCTGACCATCGCGGCTTCTGTCAAAAAGAACCTTCTGTCAGAGCTCGACGGAGCAGGATTCGTCCTCTTTCACATCTTTCAAAGGTCCTACTTTCTTCAAAGTGCATCAAATCCTATAATCTACAGCTTCTGGAACGCAAACTTTCGTCGTGAAATTCACCGTCTGTCAATGAAGATGACCAGCAAAGCCTAAGTACGGCAACTGTTCGTGATACTTTTGTTTTCCCACATCCCGGATGTAACAAGTGTTTCACAGATTAATCTGTGTGCCCACTGTGGATATCTAAGTGAACGCGCTGCTGGAAAAATGCCTGACTATAGTGTATTTAAGACAATATCTGACTATAGTGTAATTAAGACAATACCTGACTATAGTGTAATTAAGACAATACCTGACTATAGTGTAATTAAGACAATACCTGACTATAGTGTAATTAAGACAATACCTGACTATAGTGTAATTAAGACAATACCTGACTATAGTGTAATTAAGACAATGCCTGACTATAGTGTAATTAAGACATAGTGTAATTCTGACTATAGTGTAATTAAGACAATACCTGACTATAGTGTAATTAAGACATTGCCTGACTATAGTGTAATTAAGACAATACCTGACTATAGTGTAATTAAGACATTGCCTGACTATAGTGTAATTAAGACAATACCTGACTATAGTGTAATTAAGACAATACCTGACTATAGTGTAATTAAGACATTGCCTGACTATAGTGTAATTAAGACAATACCTGACTATAGTGTAATTAAGACAATACCTGACTATAGTGTAATTAAGACAATACCTGACTATAGTGTAATTAAAACATTGCCTGTGCTGATTGCAAGAACATATACTCCACTGTCAATTTGTTTCAATTCATCGATCTGCCTTTAGAACAAAAATGTTAGGTATTATGGATATTTTGGGGTTAATTTAATGAAACTGTGTGCTCAATCTCCACTCCATCACCAAAAGTATTCATGAATTATCAACCATGATGCGTTTACCCGATGAAACAGGCGGCTTCTCCTGACATTGTTTTGGTTCGTTAGGGTCTGCCTGTTGTTCTTCTATATACATCCTATATATATGAACTTTGTTTTGATGCTGTTACTTTGTGGGCGTGTCAAGTTATGTACATAAATCAACAAGACACCTGATTCACGTCACAACGCAGTGTTTATTCCTTCACCTTGAAAGTTTATTAATCCCGTCGTTTTTGTCTGCTATCATTTATGTAATTAGTTTGGTGTATGTTTTGTAGAATGTAATCATACGATTGCCTTTGCCTTTAAATAATAACGTGATAATGTATGCATTGAAGAAGCGGTAATACTGAAATCAGGAACAATACTGTCGAAAGACACACACGTGTATACATACAAGCACGCACGCGCACACACACATACATACATACATACATACATACATACATACGCACGCACGCACGCACATACATACATACATGTACATACATACATATACACTTGTAATCCAAAGATATATATATATATATTTAATACTTTCCTCTTAATTTCATAGCTGTCGATGTTTTGCTTGTTTAAATTGTAATAAAGGTTAAAACACAATATTTGTCCGATATTATGTATTACAAGATGATAACGAATTGTCTTTTGATTGATCTCTTGTATATTTTAGTCGAAATGCGTATATCGAACTACGGTTATAACGAATTATAGTTAGTGGTCCTTTTGAGCTCGTTATAGACAGGTACGAATTCGGATATGTTATTCCGTACATTTTCTTTCGGATGATGGAGACTGGTTGTTATATACGTACTATTAGCAAACTTTTAGTTAATCGAAAATCGAGTTACCGGTATTGCTGAAAGCGGCGTAAAACTATACTCACTCACTCTACATATTAGACACATTCGCATGCAGTCAACACTGATTAGTCAAGGCCTAAACGTGGCGTAAAACTAAACTCACTCACCAGGGGCGGATACAGCTTTTTGAGAAAGGGGGGTGCACACTATTGAGAAAAGGAGGGATGCACACTTCATTTTCACCCGAGTTTCAATGGTCATTTAACAAACTTTCACCACAAAGGCGCACCCTGCACACAAAATTATGGAGACAATCCGCCTATGCTCACTCAAACTCACTCTTGTGACTAACACAACCATGCTATTTTGATTCAAGGCAGTTTGAGGTAAGAAAGAAGGAAGAAGTCCTTGTCCACTTCACACTCGCTGTACACCGTATAAGTGTTGCTTCCTATTACCACACTATGAAATGTAAGAGGTAGTCGTTTGATACCGAAGCACTTTAGAATGGTTTGATAAACGTTTCATTATGTAACTTAATATCATCTATAGAGTATAGAGCTGGTATAGATACCACTTGAAAAGTCGAGCGTGTCATCTCATTTCGCTGCTAACGGAAGTAGTACATTACCGCCAGGAGGAGGATAAGTGGATATATCTTGGTGTCACTCGAAGGATGCTTGGTCCCCGATATCTGATTCCAAGGATGTAATTTGTTTCAAGAGCACCGACTTCAATCAAGTGAGAGGGTTGGGTTTTACGCCGCTTTTAGCAATATTCCAGCAATATCACGGCGGGGGACACAAGAAATAGGCTTCACACTTTGTACCCATGAGGGGAGCGAACCCGGGCCTTCGGCGTGACGAGCGAACGCTTTAACTGCTAGGCTACCCCACCGCCCGACTTCAATGTTGTGTTTGCAAGATATACGAATGAAAACACACACTCGCGCGCGCGCACACACGTACGCACGCACACACACACACACACAGAGGGGCGGTGGGGTAGCCTAGTGGTTAAAGCGTTCGCTCGTCACGCCGAAGACCCGGGTTCGAATCCCTCACATGGGTACAGTGTGTGAAGCCCATTTCTGGTCTTCCCCGCCGTGATATTGATGGAATAAATATTGCTAAAAGCGGCGTAAAACTGCACTCAATCACTCAATCACTATTCTACTGGAAGCCTGTCGACCCTTGCACGACCTTTCTCGAGTGGTTTCTGACATCATAAAGTCAGGTATTACATTTCTTTGATGGGCATTTTAGAAGTTGAGTTGATGAAGAATAATGACTATTATTATGGATATACAACTTCTTTTATTCTGTGGAGGCGACGTTTCGACATAGGTTCTAAAGCAAGTGACAACGACATTAGAACCTATGTCGAAACGTCGCCTCCACAGAAAAAAAGAAGTTGTATATCCATAATAATTGTCATTGTTCTTCAGGTATTACATGTTAATGGACGGATTATTTGTACATCTGTACGTCTTTATCTTGGACACGTGACGTCACACGTGCACGACTGCCCCGACGTGATTCATGACAGATGACAGATCTGTTACCCTGTTACAGATAACATCTTCAAAGAGATGGATTTGTGTTGAAAATATGAAAAGTCTGACAATTTCGTTTTGCGTGATTCCTGTTTACAGTTTACCAACAACGCGTGGACGTATATTTTCAGCCACTCGTAGCATTGCGTAGACGTTATTTGCCGTTAAGCAAAGGTGTTTATATATTACTTTAACATATCTAACAACATAGATGCCATCAGTACATCAGGCAGGATGTTTCATTGTTTTGATACATTAACAACAAACAGGTTCAACGTTGAACACACAGTTCCTGTAAATTGGTTTGTTGTTTAACGCCGCTCTCAGCAACATTCCAGCTATATGGCGTCGAGCTGTAACTAATCGAGTCTGCTGGACCAGACAATCCAATGATCAACACAGCATGAGCATCGATCTACGCTATTGGGATACGATGACATGTGTCAACCAAGTCAGCGACCCTGACCACCCGATCCCGTTAGTCGCCTCTTACGACAAGCATGGGTTACTGAAGATCAGTTCTAACCCGGATCTTCACGGGTCTGTAAAACATTTAACATACTGTTCCTGTAAATGAACACAAGGCCCTGCAAACTTTAATTTAAATCATTCGACGACCCCGAATCACTCTGGTGTATGAATGTGATATAAATCCTTCTGTAAATATTTACACACGTTGTCTAGCCTCACGTTCAGATATGGCAAGGTCGTATCACACTTTATAGCATGCAACAACACTAATGCTGTTTGGGGTTTGCACTACGTTTACCTCACCTGTGTTCGTGTTTTAGATGAAGGGGTGAGTGTCTGCTGTGTGATATCCTCTCATCATTAACTTAATATAACTAAATAAATACAAACAAATTTAATAACATGTACTAAAATGTCCAAAGCTGCTTACACACAGCCACACAGTCCACATCTCAGGAACTATCTCGTCAGTTTTGCTTTAGAGGGTTAATGATTTATTTGTTGGTTTGTTTAACACCGCACTCAGCAATACTCCAGCTATATGGCAACGGTCTGTAAATGATCGAGTCTGGACCAGACAATCCAGTGATCAACTTCATTAACATCAATCTATGAAATTAGGCTACGAAGACATGTGTCTACCAAGTCAGTGAGTCTGGTTATAATCTAAGTGAGTGAGTGGTAATTACGTTGCTTTTACGTTATTCCAGTAATATTGGTCGGCACATATTACCAGTAATATCATGCGGGTCGGAAAATCGAGATAACAAAATTTATACCATGGCACCCATCAAATTGACGCTCGTCAGAAGAATTTTCCTCTCTTCATCCCCCGTGAAGCACATTACAGTTGTTTGTTTTATTGTTCACACCCCTGACAATCATCTTTTATTTGTAATGCGCCTGTAAACTCCTTCACGGTGCAATTCCTTTGCGAATTGAACTTTTCGAGACAAATTGGTTTCTTCCTTACTTAAATTCACCACTTATATCACTCAAAGGTCTCTGTCTAATTTGCTTCACGATCTGAACAGCGAGGCCCGACCTCTGTCCCACAGAGCTTACATATGTCATATCTTCCCACGTAACCTCTGTTCTAATACGGTCATATATGTAAACTACCATCCTTGCCCTCTGACAACCTGCAGTTGGTGATCAGCTCCTGTTCAGAGATCAGCTCCTGTCCCCCCTGCTCGAGTAAGGTTTCATCAGATACGTTCGAAGTGCAAATGCGTCGTCAGCCAGGATGAAGTAGGGTGTGTCTTGGTCATCGTTGGGAAGTGGATCAGCAGGAGGGAAACCAATTGAGGGATTCTGATCTGGGAGGTTTACGTATGGCAACATGCTTTCCATCAAGGGTCCCAATGACATGAGGCATGTTCCAATTGAGTTAAAAGTCTAAGCTCACTCTTCGCCATTCCTCAGATGTAACAGGGCAGTTGGTCACCTCATCTTTGTAGTGTTCCACTATAGCACCACTCACATCAGGCAGGAACTGTCCAATTGTGTGCCCGGAGACTCTGAAATCATAGGAGAGGGTGGGGTACTTAAAACTTAGTATGCCTGAGGGTGACTGCCAGATCAGTCCTGGTTCAAGGGCTTTTCTGAAGTTCGTTTCCGACTTTTCCAGTATTGGACCAACTGTGTTGAGCAGTTCATCAAATATGAGAGGAGGCATCCTCAGGTAATTGAAAATGATGAAGTATCTTCAGATCTCAACTCACGCATCAGTCAGTCTATCATAGTGTCCAAACATTAATCTTCTCTCTTGAGCCAACCACGGGTGCATCCAAAATGCTTTTCTTCTTCTTCTCAAGTTCAACATTCGTAGCAACAGTATCATCCTTTGTCTCTGGTTAAGTTGAAACTGGTGCTGGAGGATGAGCAATGGTTGGAAAGCTTGGAGGTCCATGTTTTCAATGCAGCCGTGAATGGAGAAATCAAGAGCGGCTGTGAACTGTTATACCAGAATTTTCAGGAAAATTAGCCGATTTGATCGTGACATCATCAAAGATTAATCGGGAGTTGATCGGATAAAGCGTGAATAGAATTGCAACGGATCGCCATGGGCGTATGTCCAACATCCAGCGTGATCAGAACGTGATCAAAGCGTCACCTGAGCGTGTTGAATCGGGGAAAATCGGGACATGTTCGCAGTCGGTTCAGATCGTGCCTAGAGTAGCTGTGCATCGTATCATAGTCGCATAAAGCGTACGTTGATTGTACGTTCAGCGTATATCACTGACTGAGTTTAGTTTTACGCCGCTTTTAGCAATATTCCAGCAATATCACGGCGGGGACACCAGAAATGGGCTTAACACATTGTGCCCATGTGGGGAATCGAACCCGGGTCTTCGGTGTGACGAGCCAACGCTTTAACCACTAGGCTACCCCACCGCCCCTCAGCGTATATCAAGCGTAATTGCATACATCTGGGGATTTTTTTCCACGATTGATATTGAGCCCGCTCGAGTGTGGAAACTGGAATCGGCATAGATCTGGATGGTCGTTGATGGGTCGGCGCCCAGTGAAATGGGGGTATAAGTTACATAACGCTCACAAATACGAATGAAGCACGTCTATAGGCCGCAACAGAGGAAATCCTTTGTCGCACTTTCGCGCACCCGTTACGATTATTGCCCACGAAAACTTATATGAATGTCTTCTTTGTATTTATAAGTCAAGTGCGCCCTATTTTCGTTATCAATATATCCAGAGGTTAATATTGGCAAGCCATCAAACATCTCAGTCGATCTCTCGCACGTGAGCGGCGT